TCCCATCCTCCTTTCCTCCCCGATCCCCTGCCCCGTGGTATCCTTTCTCCAGGGACCCTGAAGTCGTCAGAAATATTAAAAGTGTGGGGAATGCTGGGGACTCTTGGCATAAAGGCTATGCCCCCCGATTCATCAGCTCCCTTAGAAGGGTGGGGTCTCGGAAAGAAGCTGATCCCTCATCTACCCAGGACTCTCCTGTGTTCTGGCAGTTTCTTACGGAACCCAGATCTGACTTCTTCCTTAATTTCTCCCCATAGGTCACATTGGGGTACATGACCTCAGACCTGGAGGACAAGACCAGACGGGAAAAGAGGTGAGAGACCTACCCCCGGGCTAGGCTGGAAAGTGGAAAGGGCTCAGGGACAGGTTGGAGGGGACGGTCGAGAGTGGGAACCAGCCCAGTCACGCGGGGATTGGGAGGTGGAGGCTCCTGGACAAAGTCCACAGACCCCGCCTAGGACCGGGGGTGTAACATCATGGGCACGTGGCCACTGACCGAGCCATCTGCCAATCAGCGCCAGCCAATGGGATACAGGCTGGGGCGGGCCGTGCGCTGAGCTGTATGGTCTAATTCCAATGCCTCGTCCCCACCAGCAAATGGGATTCCAACTTCTCCACTTCCTTAACCCGACATGATTGGACCATCAGAGATACTGCAAATACGGCCCATCTCGACCCTGCCAGTGACAGAGAAACAACGTAGACATGCCTGACAACCGGGAATTGCTTAAACGAGGCACAGCACATGCTGAGCGAATCTGTCACCGTTAGAAACCACGCTGGGGAATGATGCTTACTGACGGGGACAGTGTTTACAACTTGCTGCTACGTTAGGAATGCATATCGCAGAACTGTGTGTGATAGGCCCACGTTGTGAAAGGTGTAGATTAGTTAATTGATGTAATGATAATTTTACATTAGGTGCGAATGTGTTTTCTACGGTTTTATGCGTACACACGTACACACACTCTCCGCATACACACACACGTCTGTGCAAAAATTTTGGACAATGTTAACTATCAACTGTGCTATCTCAGTTTCTTTCTTTGCACTTTAATGTATATTCTGAAGTGTTCTTTTTTCCTTCACAAAGTTCATACCTTGTTCATATAATTAGAAGAAAAAAAAAAGGTAAAACAGCATGAAGTTAGTTCAGACTCCATAATGCCATTTCTGGAACTTTTTTTCTAAGCTGTCTTCACGGATGGGTTTAAAAATATCTAAGCAAATTTGTTCATCTTCATGGCAGTTAAACTGGAAGGACGGGAGGAAGGGAGGGAGGGAGGGAGGAAGAGAGGAAGAAAGAGAGGCCCTTTCCTGGCTGAATCTGGGACGTGTGAATGGCCGGCCTGCCCCTGTGGACATCACTACTCAGGAACTGTTTGACTATGAATGTACACAAAGCAGTCAGGTCAGTGCCTGGATACAAGGCAATCCCAGGGGCCACTGGTTAAGACCCCTTCTGGTACAGGGGCCACGGACCCGTGTTCAGCCTGGTCCCTCCACTTGCTGGCCTCTGAGGCTTTGAGCAGCTCACTGTGGCCTCCTGACCCAGGATAATGCTGATTCTCTCAAGACTCACAGTGAGGACTGGATGAGACAGAATACATGAGGATTTGATGCCCAGCAGGCGCTAAGCGAATGTATTAGTTCCCTAGGGCTGCTGTGACAAATTACCACAAACTGGGTGCCTTAAAATAGCAGAAATGTACACTCTCACAGCTGCAGAGGCCGGAAGACCAAAATGAAGGTGTTCAATCAGGGTTACACATCCTTGCAAGGTTCTAGGGAGGATCCTTCTGTGCCTCTTGCAGCTTCTGGTGGTTGCCGGCAATCCTCGGCATTTCTTGACTTGTGGCAACGTTAACTCTAATCTCTGCCTCCTTCGTCACGTGCCCTTCCTCCCTACGTGTGTCCAAACTTCCCTGTTTGTATAAGGACAGTCACTGGATTTCACACTCCCCTACCAAGTCCAGCCGGACCGCATACTAACTTGATCACATCTGCAAAGATCCTATCTCCAAATAAAATCATATTCACAGCTATCAGGGGTGAGGACTTGAATGTACCTTTTTTGTATCAGTTCAACCCACAACGGCAGGTATTCATGCCAGGGCTACTGGACCCCTTGATGTTTTCCATTGTCCATGCCCAGTCTCTACCTTCCTCCTGAGATCCAGACCATCTTCCTATCTATCTGCCTGCTGGACGCTGGTCTCCCTGGCGGCTGGGGGCGGGGCGGGGTCTCCAGACACCCTTGAGCTGCCAACATGTGACTTTAACCTCATTGCCCCCATCTCAGCCCTGCCTCCCAACACTTGAGAGAAATGAAAATACACCTCGACACAGCCTTGTATAAATATGTGCACAGCAGCTTTATTCACAATTGCAGAAAGCTGGAAATAAACCCAATTCGCATCAACAGATAAATGGGTAGACCAACTGTGATACACTGGAATCCTACCCAGCAACAAAAAGGAACATAATACTGATAAAATAACATGGATGAACCTCAAAATATGGCTTCTGAGTGAAAAAAAAAAAGACACTACAGTGCATACTGCATTTTAATTATATAAATCATATAGTTTATAATTTATAAAATTTATTTTATAAATTACAATTATATAACAAATCATACTATTAACATTAATCATAGTGTTGGCATATTAATATATAGCATCATTTTATGTTATATACACTAATTAATATTAGTTTATATTATATAATATAGTATTAATAATACAAATGTATTTATAGATTATAATTAATATAACCTATTTCAATTATATAATTCTACTAATTTATGTAATTCTAATTATATAAAGTTCAAGGACATTGAAAACTAATCTCTGGTGACAGAAATCACAGAATAGTGGCTGTTGGGTTGCAGACTGTCTGGGACGGGGCACCCAGATCTTTCTGGGGCTGACGGAAAACTTGTACATCCCTGATTGGGACGTTGATCATACAGGTGTGCACATTTGGCAAAACTCATGGTATTGTACCCAGAGATCTGTGTATTTCATTTTTGGTAAATTTTGCCTCAATATTAAAAAGATGTTTTGAAAATCTGGAGGAAAACAAATAAACAACTTACCCAAAGGAAGTGGGCTGGGGTCCTCTAGCCTTCATCTCCTCATCTGCATCTGTCTTGTCCCTGAGTCTGGGTCATTTCCCCTCCTTCTATAGGAAAAATAAAAAGTCTTCAAGTGATGATATTTCCTGCAAACATGTGGCCAAGGTGTCTGCTGGTTACTTGACCCAGTGGTGGATGAAAGAAGAGATCCTCAGAATCAGGCGAGGGGTTCAATCCCAGCCCTGCCCTGAGCAGCTGAGTGACCCTGAAGCAGCCGAATAACCTCTCTGTGCCTGTTTCCCCATCTACATGATGAAATGACACTCTGCGTTTCACAGGCTTTGTCCCAGCACCTGGCAAAGTCCCGCACACATGCCAGGTGCTTGGCAAATGGCCCAGGAGGCCACGCCTGTGTCTGATTGTTTCTTAGAAGAAAGCTACTGTCAGACTCCAACGCCCAGTTCAGACCCAGCAAGGACACGGAAGACCTTCCACACCCCAGCTGCAATCCCCAGTCTGATTCAGAAGTGAAAACCGCCTGCTGGAATTAATCCCTGGGCTGAACTGCGGGGATGCAGGGGTGGCAGTTGGGGGGGGGGAAGATTTAGAATTTCCCTCTTCAAACCCAGAAGGCGTCCTGGGCAGGGCTGGACAGTGGCCAAGCCCTGTTATTTGAACGAGGATCTTTTTCCTGAGGGACTGCACATGCCACAAGGGAGATTTTACTTCGCCAAGAACACCCTGTGTGGATGTCAGCGGCCCTCCCCAAGAAACGTGTGAGTTCCAGTTCCTCCCCACCCTCTCCAGCATTTGGTGTGCTCAGGCTTTTAAACTTCAGCCACTGTAGCAGATGTGACAGGGCACCCATCATGATTTTCATTGTCATTTCCTTGGCATCCAACAATACTGAGGACCTTTCCGTGTACTTATCGCCATTTGGATCTCTTCTCTTACAAAATGTATGATCCAGTCTTTTATTCCCCCATTTTAAAAATAAGGGTTGTTGAGGGGGGAGGGTAGAGCTCAGTGCTAGAGCACGTGCTTAGCATGCACAAGGGCCTGGGTTCAATTCCCAGTACCTCCATTAATACATAAATAAACCTAATTACCTTTCCCCACAAAAAAAATTTTTTTTTAAGTTAGGTTGTCATTGGTGTTAAGAAACAAAATTCAATCAAGTAAATCTGAAGATCTAATTGGCTTTATTAATCAATTCATGAATCAGGCAGCATCCTATTTAATAAGCAGAAAGGCGCTCCAAGGAGCTGTACAGAACGGAAGGCTCTTAGAGGCGGGGGCGGGGCAGGGACAAGGAAAGAACAAATTACCTCATCTTTCTTTAGGGGACAGAAAAGGTCTATATGGGATATTATCTTACTAGTGCTGACCAGGAAATTCCAGGTAGGCTGGTTAAAGGTCACATTCCTGGATCTTTCCTAATTGCCGCAATTAGGTTAGGTATTAAGTCTTGGTTTGCTGACGGGAAGCTTAGCCCATGTGGCTCCATTTGGGCCCTGTTACTTCATTAACTAGTAAGAATTCTTTTATATATTTAAGTTCAACTTCCCTTTCAGGGATATCTATCTATCTATCTATCTATCTATCTATCTATCTATCTATCTATCTATGTAGATATAATTTTCTCTTCGTTTATGGCTTACCTTTCATCTTCTTAGCTCTGTCTTTGCCTCCCAATTTCTTTTTTTTTTAACATTTTATTTATTTACTGTTGTATTATTTTTAATTTTTTTATTTTGGGGGGAGGAGGTAATTAGGTTTAATTTATTTTTGGAGAAGGTGCTGGGGATCGAACCCAGGACCTTGTGCTTGCTAAGCACACGCTCTACCACTTGAGCTATCCCCTCCCCCTTCTTAGCTCTGTCTTTGATGAACAGAAGTTTCTAGTGAAGTCTAATACATATATAAATGTATAATTTGCTTAGTATTTTGGATGTCCTTTAAGAAATCTTTGCATAGACACAAACATTCTTCTAAGTTTTCTTCTAGAGCAATGCTGTCCAATAGAAATACAGTGCAAGCCACATGAGTAATTTAGAAAGTTTTAGTAGCCGCCATAAAAAAAATAAGATACTCGCAGACACAGTAAACAATCTTACAGTCACCGCGGGAAAGGGGGTGGGAAGGGATAAATTTGGAAGTTTGAAAGTTGCAAATGTTAGCCACTACATATAAAGATAGATTAAAAAACAAATTTCTTCTGTATGGCACAGGGAACTATATTCAATATCTGGTAATAACCTTTAATGAAAAAGAATATGAAAATGAATATACGTATGTATATGCAGGACTGGGACACTGTGCTGTACACCAGAAACTGACACATCGCAACTGACTGTACTTCAACAACAATAAAAAAATTAAAAAAAAAAGCTGATGAAACCTAAGCTTAGGGCTCCTGGTTTACGAGGTCTCCTCCAAGGCCCTGGCACCACATTCACACAGTTTTGTCTAATCTACAATCTAAGATTCTTTTAAAAATGGGACAGAGTTTGATTTCTACGAGTCTGACTGAAAGGATGCACATTACTCAACCGCTCAAAACCCTCCAAAGGCTTTCGCTCACACTCTAAATACAATAAATAAATGAAAAATGTGATGTTCACATAAGAGCATGAAGGCAGAACAGGAATGAGAAGTGGAAAGGGGAGGGAAGGGCATTTGGGGAGGGAGGAACATCTCATGCAAAAACCCAGAGGCACAAAAGACCTTGTCGTGTTTGAGGCTAATGAAAAGTCCAGGGGGGACAGGCTGAAAAAGGGAAGTGGGGGGAGTGGTAGAAAAAGAGTTGGAGAGCAGGACTGAGGTTAGGGTGAGTACAAAATAAAAGGGGTGCTCAAAACCTCAGTAATGGAGATAAATAATATTTTAATGCCAGGTTTTAGTAAAAAAATATTTTAAAATTTAATATATTATTTATTTTTATTTTTAATTTTTTTCGGGGGACATAATTAGATTTTTGTATTACTTATTTACTTATTTATTTTTTAATGGAGGTACAGGGGACTAAACC